GGCGCGGTTGTGCTTTCTCTGTGTTGTTGTGTGTTTGTTGTTGGACGCTGTTGGTGTTGTGACTGTCTTGGTGTGCGGTAGCTACTCGAGGGGCCGTTTTCTTCTTAATCCTTCGCGGGCGGAGTAGGGGAGCTTACTGGAGGCCAGAGGTTTTCTCCAGGGATTTGTAAAACATCAGAAGTTCTGCATCAATGATGTTTCATGGATACGGGTTGCAGTTTTACGGGGTAATTGAAGAATTTCACTTCATTAAAAGAACTAAAGCCTTTATGTTGATTTTCATTAATGGCCATTTATCAATTTACGAACTTTCAGGATTCCATTTAGATAATTAAACGTAAATCGCAAAACATACAATAAATTGAATAATGTTTTGTATTCTGGGAGAAAATCTGTTACACGTAATGGGAAAATACAGATTCTTACGGTAAAACCACTAAAAAGGTGCTAAAGGCCTTAGTATAGATTTGTATTTTGTTCAGGAAATACACTTTCGCTAACTTCGTTAATTACTCAGTGCAATAATAATATATTTCAGTTATTTTATGCACTCGTTTGACAGTCTTCTTTAATCATCTACGCTTGAATTCAGATCCCAATCTCATTACTTATATATTCGTATTATATAAAAAAAAACTCTTCAAAATCCGAAAAGTAGACATAAGAATAAAAGAAAACGCGGGCCCCAGTTTGTTGCATCACCTAAAATGGCAGCACTAGAAATCACAACATTCCTCAAAAGTGAGGTAGTTAAACAATGCTCAATCTCAACCTTTCGAGTAACCTAGCAATTTTATCTCAGTACTATCTGCCATTTTAGATGAAACATCAGAAGTAATGTAGAATATGTCTTCGATGTTCCCTCTCCAGTTTGAAATGTGTTAATCAATGCACTTACCTAACATTGTGTTACATTGTGTTTGTGTGACGCTAAAGACCTTTGTAGCAAGAATTCGTCTAGTTTCGATGTGCATGTTGTGTGTAGTGTTGGATTTCCCTGAATTTAAAACGCTGGCCCTAAAATAGCTGCACAAATGCTTGGATTTCCTCGAGTGGTTAAAAAATGTAGATATGATTGGTCCATCACAGAATGACACCAGGAAAGTTGTGTTAATGTAGTTATGCAATATATTGGGTCACAATGCTCTGTGTAATTGCTGTGTGTCACTGTTCATTATTGCAATTTTCAGATGAGGATGATATGTTTTCAATGAATGTGAGTGAATGTTATTTTTATTAAATGCTTATAGATCAGTTATTCATTGAATGCTAATCTCCTCTATATTTCTTTGCTGCTAAAACTTGAATGATCAAATGCTAAAGGTGATTAATTACAATGATTTGAATCGTTTCATTTCAAAAGTGTATGAGTACTCTTGAGCTAGTGATTTAAACGCAATAGCATAATAAAACTTCTATCTACATTTGAGGAGCAACTAATCAACGCATATTGTCCTTTGGAAAAAAATGAGTTTGATATGAAATCGTGTAGTTTTTAATATGATCTACATGCTCCTGCATTCAGATTTCTTCAAATGCATTTTAACACATTAAATTAAATGCGTGTTGCTGAAATCAGGAGCGTGCAGAAATTTTCGGAGGTATGGGTTGATCACGGTTATTTATTTTCAATTTAACATTTTCAAGGTTATTGATTTTTGAACGTTTTATAATCGTTACATATTTATGCATTTTTGAACTGCAAAAGTTTAATTGCTACAATCATAATGTTCGTAATACATTAACAAAAAATCAGATTTTCGATCTTCTCGCTTAAAATCACATGTAAAGCAGATAACGTGGTCAATTGAGAATAAGTATCCGTGGGGATTCTGTGGGAATAGTGTGCAGTTCGCTTCATTACACGAAGAACTAAGCTCCTGAACTAAACTTTACCATGAAACAAAGCCAAGAGCCTTCAAAAGAGTGGGTAGAGTCGCATTGTTACAGGCGATTCACGAGTCAAACTGGACGTTTTCCGTAAAGAGAAATTCATACATGCTATATCATTTTTACACAGAAAGCATATACTATGAAACCTCTCTACAAGAGACACTCGGGACCGACAAAAGTTTTGTAAATTTTCATAATAATGTTCTCTTATAATATCGACTTAACAAAGGATCGAAAACAAAAAAAACAAAGCAGGAAGGAATAGCAAGTCTTAACGCCTGTTGAGGATTTAACAGTCCGCCGTCCGTTAAGAACAATGGCAAGAAATGAGTTGTAACTAAAGATGACACGAGTAAATTTATTTCAAGAAGTGATATTTCTTGCTTATATGTTTTGTTCTTATATGAACATTGTATGATAAATGACACATGGCTGATAAGACAATAACACACGCGGTTGGTTACAAACACTGTCTATCGCCTCGGTCCACGAACTTTTTGCTGTTTATCGGTCTAATGGCGCTTGTTACTATTCAATATATCTACTGGAAAAGGGTTTCGATAAACCCGACCGTGAAAATGGACCGCTCAAAGAGAACCCGCTCGAGCGTCCGTCGGAGAGGTTTCCACGCATGTCTTCCGGGACGTCCTTCGCGCGGTGGAGGAGTGCGGCGCGTCACGCAAGCCAGTTTCAGCGCGAGCGGCGCTCGCCCTCGGCTCGCCCTGGGCGGTGGGCGGGCGCGAGGGCGCGGGCGCGGGCGCGGGCGAGGGCGCTGAGCGGGTGGCGCTGCGCAGGGCAAGGAGGCTGGGATCCGCATCCTCGTGGACCTCGACGACCAAGAAGGTGAGTGCGCCCTGCCCCATCACTTTTAAAGCAATAGTTGATAGTTTGTCATGACCTCAGCTTACATTACGATGGATTGGGTTCAGCGATTTGCGACAGAAAAGTGACGAAGTTTCATCCTCATTTATGGTAAATCATTGGCTGAAACTTCATCACTCTTCTGACCCAACCCGAAGATTTCATCAAAATACCAGGACTCAAACTTAAAACATTGATGTAAATTATACATCGCCTCTAAAGCACCCATGTTTTTAAAATTGGTTTAGTAATCTCTAACATTAATGATTGCGTAAAGAGGATTAAATTTGACAGAACCCGTGTTTATTAATTTATCAATGTCAATCATATTCCTATTGACAAAAGTAAGTCCAAAAATAATAACAGTAATTAATTGGCAGTATTTTTGTCGTTATGATATATTTTATATTGAAAAATAAATTATCGACAAGTTAAAAACATAGAGCACAAAACATCAGTGCTTCAATAAATCGATGTTCAAAACATGGTTTCTATAAAAACATCGATTATTGAACACACTGACATGGGTGTCGCATCGCATCCCGGACCATCGTCGCACTGTTTCGAGGAGGCTGCGAACCGGCGACGCTAGCGGATGTCACCGGAAGACCGTCATTGAAACTTCCGGGTTATTTTTAATGAAGAGTATCGCGCGGCGGGGGATTTTTGAAATGTATGTAGCTCCTTTAGAAGACACCACTGCCTTTTTGCGATTTCTAGAAACCGGCTACACTCACTCTTCGTTCAACCGTGGTTTATTTCGATCAATTCCGGTCGAAGGCCGGGGCAGTACCTTAAACAACGGCATAGGAATCCAACGCGGCTCTTCCTTCCCGATCTTATCCCCACTCATCGTTTGAAATATAGCGCTGCGCAAAACCTATATTATGAATAGGGAATATAGAGATAAAAGATTTGTTCCCATTCCGCTCGGCCAACTCTTCCTCTAATTTCAGTAATGAGAACGAATATTAATTTACAGATTCTTGGCTTTGCGGAGACGCGAGCATCAGGGATTTAGCCCTGAGGAAGGTTGCAGTATGACAGCCGAAACGTTGACAACTGCCTCTAGGACGCGGCGTCTCCCGGACAGCAGAGTGTCTATTGCCTCCAATCGCCGACGTTTTCATTTTATACCCTATCTCAACCCGCCGAAGACGTCTCTTGGGATCCGCGCCATTCCCAGAAGACGTTTTAACGCGGTTCCGACGGAGGAGTATGATCGATAAGACACAACTTTCGGTGCGATCAATGCGCCGTCGCCTTGTGTGATTTCGTGCAGCCTCCGACAGGTCTCCCTCGCTTTGAATCGTAGCTTCTGTTGTTAAGTCCAGAGATGAACCCCAGAAGAACCAAACATTTACATAAAATGCCTAGTCCACTATTCCTTTGACTTCTGTATTGACAAAATCACATTGTTTTTGAAAATATAATCGCGAGTTCTAATAAGGTTTATAATGTTTCCCAATTGAGAGTGATTAATTCTCTAGGAGGCTAAAGTAGCTTGTTTACTTTTCTGCATCTTAAAGCTAGTTAAATGTGGATGAATAAGGAAAGAATTATATTGCTTGTATTTCTACATCAGTGATATATTTTGTTGGCGAAATTATTAAATTATATTGAAACTAGGATTCAGAAACGGGGATTTACCATTTTTTTAAATTAGTTTTTGTTTCGTTGTAATATTGAGTTAAGATAAATGATCCAACGCGGGGTGACTGATTCCTCCAGGCATTACTAGTAATAGGTGAATCAGTTCCAGAGCTACACTTGTAAAAATTATTATCAAGCCATTACTCATACTGTGTAGTCTTTTTTAAAACCGCCTGTATTAAACAGATATTTTAAGAGAATTATAAATTGTAAGTCTCCATATCATCATTTAAAAGATTGAAAAATCAAAAGACATGATCGAATTCATCAACACTAAAAACTTGAATTGGCAAAAACAACATTAGATGTGCTGACACTGATAAATGCTGTTCTGGGACAGAGCCGTGTGGACTCAGAAAGATGTTTCGGATATTTTTCTTACTCATATAAATTAAACTCAAACAAACTCCAAGCGACAACTCGCAAAATCGCCAAGCAACCACGCAGCCAACGGACACATTTCCTCATTTTCTACTCTTTTTCGCCATTTCCAACAATTTTATATGCAGCAAATTTTTTTTTTTTTTGCAGTTTACGTTACGTTTCGTTTTGCATTTGCAGTTGTACACACATTTTTCAACTTTTACATGAGGTAGATACTCGGAACCCGAACGAGACCCCATACAATTGCACTGCACTGAACACTACTCACGTTACTGCACATGCATTCTCCACAACTGCCGCAGGAGTCCGAGGTGACGGCCGTCGCCGCGCTCCGCAGGCCCAGTGCAAGTGCTCCCGCTGCGAAGACTTTGGCCTCCGGTCTATGCTCCCGATCCTCTGCCAAACTCTTCGGAGCGGGAACGCTTACAATCGGAGACTTCCGAATTCTCACAATTAACCGAACTCTTACTGTTAAAACAGACAAAAAATCGTACGTATGGTTTAGGCGCTGGAGGTGTTCACAGACAGACGGACGGACGGACGTATTGTTGTAAATTGATTTTTCGGAATCAAGGACTCACAAAACAGAGATTCTGGCTACACCACGTGTTAGAGGATTTTTTTCTTAATTTGCAACTAGATTTATCCACTTTTTCGTTATCAAGGCTAGGCAATGAATTTTTTTTCTGCAAAAAATTCGCCGTTTCTTTTGCGCAGTATTACTCTCTCTATATTACGTTTATTATTCCGTATATACGTATGTATACGAGAAAGTAAAAAAGTTAATATACAGATTTTCCGTCAAATGTCCAAATATCAATTGTTGCTCTTCTCTGACATCCAAATTTATTTTAAAATATTTTTACTTAGTAAAAACGTTCGTAATAATTACATAATACTTGGTGAATAGTAAGTTTTCTCCTTCTTTTAGGATTGAAGATATAGCTGGAAAGACGTATAATTTTCAAGAATTTAAACAGAAAAATTCGTGGCAGATTAGAACTAAAGAAATGCATGACATGAAAATGTACGAGGTTAATTGTTACTTTTGTAATGTCATTTATGTATTCGTAAGTACATTTATGGTAGTAAAGCATTCGTAGTTTCCTTTGTAATAAATCTGAAACAACATAACTAAAAAAATTAATTTGTCTTTTAGGAAGCGTTAATATACTAGAAACCAAATTATTTTAAACAGTAGATGTCGAAAATAATTCTCTTTGTAATTTTCTTGATTCTCCAAGGATGAAAATTAATGAACAATTCCGAAAAATGTTCGCATTTTCAGTATTAATAGATTACGCGTTATTGTAATGAACAGAGCAAACATTCTGGTTCTAAAATGACTTTACATGACCAATGCCGAGCTTCAGACAACATCTCAGGGGCAAAACATCACAGGAGGCAGACATACCTGCACTCACCGATACCCCATATGAATATCGCGCAACGAATTTTAACCGAAAAGTCTAGCAGACATGGATACTGCGCAGTGCCTGTGGTTTCTTTTTAAATCTTAACTTATTTTCTTGCAGTAAAGTTCATACATAGAGTAACAGAAGTGTAAGGAAAAGTAAAATGTTTATTTCATGGCTTAACTACGTGCGCGGCATAAAAAATGTCCGTGACATTTTGAGTTTTTCGTGGCAGTAAAAATACAACAGTGAGAATCACAACTCACTTTCTTAGGAACAGAGAAATAATCCAGCCAAATTACGAGTATCTGAAAAATTATGAAGAGGTGACGAAAAATTGTCACTAAGCTAAATTTCTGTTAGACGTTCGTTTACTCGTAACAAATAAGTACGTGCAAATTCCTTAAAATATTACTGATAAAGTGTTACTACATACAAAATTCGAAATATCGAAGGTCAAATGTTACATAATTTGCTTTTTTGCGAGTAATTTTCCTTTCACGCGTGTTTATGTTGGTGAAGGTTATTATAAAAGGTAGTAAAAGGCCCGCGAATAGGCAGAATTTGTACTTAAAGCTTCTTTTCTCCATTCTAGCCAGTGAAAAACCAACACACACAAAACCGTCACATACGTTTCGTCTGCCTCTTCGCAGTCTTCCTCAGTGCATTGCAATAAATGCTATAGTCAAGTGATAATCTGTAAGCCTGGTTCAAAGCCCTTTTTTCCACATTGATAAATGTTTGTGCGCGAGTCCTCCCCTCCCCGAGTGGGGTGGTGGAGGGGGAGGGGGGGTCTCGCGCTGAGGGGGCTCCCGCGCGCGCCCGCGCTGCGCAGAGAAGCTGGAGGCCATGGAGAAGGGCATGGACGACATCAACGAAGACATGATCGAGGCCCAGAAGAGTTTGGCGGCCATGGGCAAGTGCTGCGGCCTCTGCGACCTCTCCTGCAACAAGTGAGCGCCGCTCCCACCCCGCTCCGCTACCTTTTCCCCCGGCCCTTCATTTTGATAAGCAGGTGGTTCACTTAGACCTCCTTCACACGGCGCCACTCAACAGCGCGCTTTCGAGAGGCGCATCTGCTGGCGAAGCATTGGTTTAAATGGGGGTGTTCACATGAGCGGTGGCGTCGCACCAACTACTATACGCGGGTTTTTATTTCTTGGCGCGCAAGGCCTTGTCTTCACGGTGGGATATCTTGTGGTATTTCGCGTCTTGCTCGGTCGTGCCGCTACATGTCGCATGATCGCCAACACTCCTCGATACGGTCGCGATCATGCGACATCTAGCGTTACGAGTGAGAAAGACACGAAAGAGCGAGAGATATTCCATCGTGAAGACAATGCCTCGCACGCCAACAACCCAAGAATATAGAGACAATTCAGGACACTCGGCGATTAACAAAAGAAACTTTAAGCTTCGACCCTTGCAGTCCGACCTGTCATAACCATTGTGACATTAGGAACAAAGTGTATAAATTTGAAAGATTTTTAGTTTTCTTACGATTACTTTTACTTACGTTTCGCAGGGCGATTGGAAAGTAACTGTATATGTATTGAAATTTGAATTAGTCACCGATTTTCCAAGTCACGTCCCTAGCTTTGCTAGCGTGTCTCCCGTTAAAAGTATCCTGTATCGTCCACATAGTAATTGGTCGCACTGCTCTAGCGCTTGATGACGAACATCCGCAACCAGTCACCGCCAGGAGAACTAGTCCTAAATGGCAGCCTTCACATGAGACGCTCCACTGAACCGCGTTTTTTCTGCGGCCTGCCTTTCGGCCGCCTGAGCCCCCAGCGGCGGGACTCACGTGTCCTTTCGTTCTCACGGTCAGTGGCGGTCGGCGGTGGCCGTGTCTGAAGGGCTCTACCGTTTCTCATTGGCACCACCGAGTGGCCCCGTGTGAAAGCAACCATAAGTAGTAAGGCATCTTTGATTGACTCAACCAGCTTTCGATTTACTGAAGTAAATAGTTACTAATCGCTGTGTGAATAGACAGGTCTCACTAATTAAGTAACTAGTGACGTACTTAGAAAAAAAGATGAATTAAGACCATATACATATGACATTGGTCTGCATCGCCCGGGCGATAAGTTTGGGCGATTTCCACTTTGGCTCTATTCAACGCAAGATTTTTTATGCTTTTCGTTCCAAAAGACATCTAAGGCGTCCATTTAATGTTTAAATTGGCTAGACGTAGTCAGACCTAAAGGTTTTAGGTCCAATGACTGAGGTGTAGCTTTTAATGTCTAATGTCAGGTGGTCCACGAAAACCTATTCAATAAATAGGGGGCTGAGAGAGAACGGCATAGACTCTCGCACTGTTAGATTTTCTCATGTATTTACTCTACGCTACGTTTTTTGCATTACCCCACCGTCTTCCTAACTGCTACCTATCGACGTCTAAAATATATTTTTTCACACTTGTTTAATTATTAGGTTCCCTAATATTAATAAAATTGATAAAATATTTTAAGTATATGTGTAAGAATAACATCTAGTTCTACTATGTACAAATTTTCATTGAAAAATTTGGAGCTTATTTTTAGAAAATGTCATATCATCGTTTTTTAAGGAAATGCGCAATTTTGAGAACATTTTCACAGAAAACATTGTTTTATTCAAATTTCAAACTGTGCCAAACTTACCGATACTGAGTTTTCAAGAAACTTCATAAAAAAAAATTTTTTAAGCACTTGTACTAACGAATACAGAGAGGGATATCAAAATCTTACATTAGTGTAATTTTAAAAATCACCAGAATGTATGAAAATGGGAGTGATTTCATACTACTGACTTCATTCAGCACTGTCCATTAAAGAATGTTAAAGAAAACATATGGAGCCGTTTGTGAGAAACAAAATGAACATGTCTTTGAGGTTTCATGTAAAGTACCCCCAAAATTAAAATATTCATTTCAGAATGAAGGGACGCGACATCAGATCGATTGGAGAATATCAATTTTGTCGAAAAATACTACTTTCGATTTAGCCGCTAGCGTAATTCTGAGTCCGACGGATGGACAGACGTTTTGCCAATTTTTCGGAGTCACAAAACGTGATTCCCGGCTACAAAACGTGTGAAAGAAAGTCATTTACTACCTACAGAAACCAAAATTATATACTTTTTCGTAATCGGGGACCTACAATACAAATGTTTCTGACAAAAGATAGCACTTTTTTCGCTACAACATAACGTAACTTTCTCTATATTTTATATAACTACGGATAATACATACGAGTAACGTACGAGTAAGCCAGATATTGAAAGCTGTTGAAATATTCTTCACTTTCAGAAGTAGATGCAGGTTGGAGTTTTAATCTGTAGCTCAAAGACCGCAGGTGTACATCGATATCTCCACGATCTTTCTAATTTTGGTGATCTTCTACCATTTGCTCAATATGCCTTTAATTAATTGGGAAGGCCTCAGTACTCGTGAATGCCCTTCCAACAAGTGAGTGACAATGATACTTATTTAGGTGCTCCAAATATTCCCATAAGGAGACATGATGACAGAGAATCATTTTCTGAAATATTCAATACTATTAATGTGTTAATGGTGTTTTTCACGTTTCAAACTTCTTTCAGGAAGCGTAGAGAAGTTGTTCACCTATTAGACCTCCTGTGTACCTATCAGACTTACGTAATTGAATCTTCTAATTTTCGACCTCTTGTCTTAGTGGACCGGTCGTTTTAGATCTTCTGGCAAATGACCTCCTGTTAAATCGGACTTATTGAGATTAGACCTTAGTTCGGGTACCTAAAGAGCTGAAACCACATAATTTACTTTGGATAACAGCATAACATTTTTAGATATTGAGAAAAATTGACGTTGAACGGAAGCTAGACGAACGGATAGTAAAGTTGCTTATCTAGCGACTCCCCCAAACTCTAAGGTTGAATTTGTTTCTATTCTACCCAATTTCACCTCCATATTTGTAGTAGACCTCTATAAGATTTGTATATGCATTTTCTATCCAGAATAATTGTGCTAATTGACAACTATTAAACAAAATTCATATTTATATTACTTTTCAAACAAATGAATTAATATTTATACGTATTTTCAAACCAATACAATTGAATTCATATAACAAATTTAATTTTATTAAATTTTAATAAGAATGTAATTTAATTAATCAATTAATTAACTAAGTAAAATAATTCAATATTAACTCAAATAGATAAAAAAAGTTGATTACTACAATTTTAATTTTGTAGCATCAGACAAGTCAAAGAGAACTAGTCAGTTTGTGTAATTCAGTAACTTCCGGTTAGAACTATGTGTCCATATTAATTCATACAAACCATTTATACAGATTTTAGTTACTCGTTTGATTGAGTTTTGTAAAGATTTGTTGTTATACCAATAAATACTCTGATAGAAGTTGAACATGGTTATAAGTTCTACCTTTCTCACACTTCTGGTGGTTTTTATTCCATATCTTATTCACTCTCACACAACATTTTAGTATTTTGCTCTAACATTGCTTTTCAATAAAACGAAATATTTACTACTATGGTGACCAATACTGATGTCTCAATGCGCGTTTTGAATTGAGATTGGTCAATAACGTAAACTACAATGAATCTCAATTATAACATCTGTGAGTGGCGATTTCTCTGAGGAGAGATGGGAAGAAAGTCCTTCTCAAATAGATTATTTTTTCAAATCTAATTAACAAATACAATTTTTGTTTTGGTGTTTTGAAAGAAGTTCATAATTTTAGCGTCGATAGGTATCAGGAATTTGATCGAGTTTTAAATTACACATGCTTTTAATCGAAGTGAAAACTATTGAAATATTTTCAGGAGGAACTCCCAGCTTTTCGTCCTGACCAATGCTAATCGTCCATATATCATAGTGCTTCTAGAGGATATTTTTTAATGAAGCCTTTCGGGTCGAAGGGAGATGTTCTTCCCTTAATTATACTACCATCTATCGGAGGGGTTTTCATGCTAATTTACGGCGTCCCCAAGCGTTTGATACGATGAGTCAAGGGTAGAGGCTGTCACGTGATGTAATCTTACAACGGCGGCTCACGGAAGTCTAAGTGAAGAGCAAATAGATCTCATAGATGTTTCTCTCTGATCCTATCGCAATTCGATGCATATAATATAATTTGCTGCGTTATTCACAGTTTTCATTTGAAGTAGTTTATTTACCTCCTCGTAATATACACGAGTCATCCCTGGCATCTATAATTATAACACGATCTGCTTGTATCTAGTAATAGAGTTATGCAACTGACGTACACACATTTTGGAAGTCGGGATGCTGTGGCAATGTGAGGCCCTGAACTCCGCAGGGGCTCCTCCAACAAGGAGGACGAGGCCGTGTGGAAGGGCGGCGACGAAGACTCCAAGGTGGTGTCCAACCAACCACAGCGCGTCATGGACCCCAACTGCATGGGCCCGCAGACAGGATACATCGGCAAGTGAGTACCTGCCTGTCTGTCAGAGCCCCTTACTAACCCAACCCAGAGGATTAAAAAATAAGGACCCGCTTACAAATAGACGCGTATTGAGATCGCGGCGTCTCTAAGTGAATGCGTGCTTACTCCAGAGGCATGAGGAATTTGGGAAACTTTGGAGGGAAAATAGAATATGCATACTTTTGGTAGATTACTTTACTTAATGCTTCGTCGTCACGACATAAAGGATAAAGAATAAAGTTAGTTATTTAATATTTATATAAATATTCTTTGGTCATGATTCGTCCTATATTGATATCTCGTGTTTTCCCGGACATACTAATTTACAAACATCTGAAATGATTCAATTCAAATAGTACAATAAAACTCTAAATTAGCAGGATATCTTTCTAGCTATCGAGTGGTTGCGTTACAGGATCACGAACGACGACCAAGAGAAGGAGATGGAAGAAAACATGGAGCAGGTGGCGGCCATGGTGGGCAACATGCGAAACATGGCGCTGGACATCGGCAACTCGCTGCAGAGCCAGGAGGCGCTGCTCAACAGGATCACGCGCAAGGTACGCAGGCCTTCTTCGGGGCTAAATGAACACCACACTACGACCGGCGACAGTAACTGCGATGGTGACGCCAACACGTAACTATCGAGTTCAAAGGTGTCTGGATGACAGATTGCAGATAGGAGCTAGGCGTTTGCTTGATGCGTTTGAACTTCAGTGAGTATGCGACACCTGTCACGATCGAGTTCCTATACCGAGTGCCGTAATCGGAGGTTGTTTTCATCACTTCCTGACAAGTGCCGGAGCAGGGCCCTTCAAAATCTGACCTCGGACCGAGCATGATCGCCTTCTCTCTGTCCCGATAGGGACGTCAAGGAATACACCATTCTGTACAGTTTTGGAATAAAAAATCGATCGCGTTTCCAGCTTACGCACGGCTTGTCATGACGAAACCTCTCAGGGGGAGCCTCATCACCAACCGCAGCCAATCGCAACGCGGCTGAACGGGAGGGGGGGGGAGTGGCCTAACAAGACACGACTGAAAAAACGCATATACTTAATCAGTGTTAACACAAGTATTTCCGAAGAAATAACGTTGATATGAGATATAATAACACTAATTTTACATTTTAATGTTGAAATTACTTTATTATTTTTACTATAGATTTTATAGATAAGAAAACTATCATAATGGCAGATTTTCAATTGTTCATATGTTTAAAAATTTGCAAAAATGGCAAAATGGTATAATTCTAGAATCGATAGCAGACTTCCACGGAAACATATAAATAAAAGACATCAAAATTAAAACACTTATTGTATATTTATCATTTCAACAGCAATTAAACTAGATATTTAACATTATTTTTTATCTCTTATTAACATTTTTATTTTGCAATATTCACTTCACAGACAATCTGTGGACGATCCCTGACAAGAATAATGCGCATTTCCGAAATGTTCATAAAGTTTTTAATTATTGCAAAATTGATAATTCGCGGTTCTGGAAAATCAGGGAACTTTTCCTAATTCAGAATTCAAAATTTGGAAATTGTTTACAAATTCGCAGTGATCAATTTTTATTCTAAAACTGTAAAACTTTCTTTCATTATACGTGAACTTTCAGATTTCTGTTGCCCTTTAAAAATGGTCTGTAAATATTTTGCAATAGAGATTACAGAATACACAATACTTACAGGTTGCAAATTAGGACACAAACAGAATTTTCAATTAATAAATAATATTAAAGGTTACACATATTTACTTCACAAAATTATATTTGAAGACATTAATAGTTTTCTAAATACCATAATTGTAAACAAACTTTTCGATGCATTACGATGCATTTTCGATTACATAATCCATAAACTGGCATTGTATGGCACAAATAATTTTGTAATAACTTTTTCTGCGCCAAGAATACTCTCGTACTTGTCCCTTGACGCGTTTGTACACAGAAGTACGTCAAATCATAAAAATAATAACTGCTATTCTTAATACATTCCTGTGAGTATGAGGAACAACAAGACAAATTACTGCGCTCTGTGTTAGCGAGTTGTTCTCCGTTCATGAAAACGAAAACGTAAAATCTTGGAGGTATTGAGCTATCACAGTTCACTCTTATGTTTACATTCCCCAATCTGAACAGTTCCATCGCATAAAATGGCACCGGGCTTTTGTGATAAAATACCATTTTACGATGAATAAGGCTAGTATGATTTAAATCATGATTAAAATCAAATGATTTTTTAATCAATTATTTAAATTAATATTTATAATTTTTAATATTTGAAAATATATTTGTAGTTTAAGTATTTGTAAAATAATAATTACACTGATAAAAAGAATGAATGTATTACTGACTCCTGCCGCGGAAGCCTACGCTTTCAAAAAGAATGAAATCAACATTAAACCGAAATTACACCGGAATCATTCATCCGGAATTACACCGTATTACTACCCTTATTTTTAAAGTAAAATTACAATTTAATAATAAATTTAAAACCTGTTTCAATTTTAAATTTAAAAATTGTTTCAATAATTTTTTTCTGCTTTTAAAGCAATTAAGGATAAATAAATCACTAAATGATATTGGTTTAAAGGAAAAACATCTAATACAATTATGAAAAATCTTATTTAAAACAAATATGATTTAATTAAAAAATATGTTTTAAGTGAAAAACATGATTTAAATACAAAATATGATTTAAATAAAAAATACGATTTAAATAAAAAATATGGTTTAAATAAAAAATCTTACTTTTTTGATATTTTCAAAACGGTCATGATTTTTTCCAGCCCGTACGATGAGCTTTAATTGCGAATTCGCGTGTGTTTTCAGGCGGAAGTCAACGAGAGGAACGTGGCGGAGGCCGTGGAGAAGGCGCACGCACTCATGAAGGACTAAACCCCGACGCCCATCGCCCATCGCCCGCTGCCCCCGCCCCCGCGCCAGCGCCCGCGCCCGCGCCCGCAGCCCCCGGGTCTCGCCCCAGCGCCACGCCCAACCAGCGCTACTCCAACGCTTCAGGAATTCGCATCTGCGCCGCAACGAGCCAAGGCCTGCCTGCAAGCAGTTCCTTTACATCTCCCCCTGCCCCGCGGACTCACGTTGCAAGAAGACCTCAAGATCAAAAAATTGCAATTACTTAAATTCGCCGAGTCTGGACGCTTAGATTTACAAGAGGGTGATAGTCTGATTTCTCTGCGTTACCTTTTTCTCCTAAGTACTATTTTATTTCTTGTAAGGACAGTATCTTCAGTACCATCTTATGATTTTATTGTCTTTTCAAGAAGCAATTTCACAGCTTCCTAGATATTCATCTTTCGTGCATAGTACCCATGAGTTTCTAAGTTGCCAAACATTGATGATGTTTATTGTGTTTGGAATGATTATTTAGTGTTTTGACATTTTAAAAAATATTATTTGCCTTTTAGAAGATGGAACTGAAGAAATGCTATTGCACAGAGCACCAGTTTTGGCAAGGAAGGTTCTCTCTCTCTCTCTCTCTTCCGATCGCCTGTCACCGCTGTTCTTGCTGGGATCAACTGAAGCACCCACATCTTCGAATTCTCAATGCAGGGAAGACATGACGGCGATTTTCGGTTGCCGAGGGTCTGCATGATGCGGAAACAAGGAATAAAAGCCAAAACTCTTACATTTTTGTCGTGTATTCTCTAAGGAAACAATATTTAAGTCTTCGGGAACTAGAGATACTTCCACCACACTTTTGGAATCCCAATGTTTTAGCAAAGGATGTATACGTACTAGAATATCAACTGTTCTCTCTAGATTGAAACACATTTTTATAAAAACTTGAGTTTACACGGTTAGTAGTACTTTCAGTCAAGGGCTTCTTGTCTCTGGAGACTGAAGACCGAATGTCAAGTGATCGTATTCATGTCCAGTGGCTTCTTACAATCGATAAAAAACTAGTATTCTTCCCTAAATTACTTTGGTTCAAGAAAAATAATGAAAGTTCTCTTGTGCAAATTATACGTACTCCTTCTTGTTATTATATTACTGTTATTTTTATTATAAGTGTTGTCATTTTGAGGACATCGAAACAATGTACAATTTATTGAATCTTAAAATATTGTTTATCGATTTAATATTTCTTAACAAACGTTAAGTAGATTTTATTACATGATTGAGCATGATGTGATGCAATTAACATAATGTATTTATAATGCCGGAGTTATTGATTCGTGAATATTATGCTTAACAAGGGCGTGGAGACACAATTAGGCTGTGCACGTCTCAGACGTCGAGTGGTGTTCAATGGTTAGACCTTCATTGACGTTCTTCTCGTGAGATCAGAGGAAAAAGGATTTTGTGTTATGCTATTTCAATTTGCTTACAAAACTCTCACGTTAATGAAAGGGTTAGTAATCAGTGTGGGACAATAAAAAGGAAACGTAATTAGATAGATTTCGGTTTGCGCCGCGACGACGTATCTTCAAACAGACTCAATACTCACTCAGCGCTCCTGCGGGAGGCGCGTGCTCATGCCTACGAACGGTGCCTTGTTCAGTTGTTGGGGAAGCCTCCTCCAAACCGTAGCAAATTCTAATTCACCGAGTGAGCAATCTGCATCAAAACTACCCATTCTCCAATCAAGAACGAAACCTTATTTCAACATTTCTTCTGTTGCAGATGTCGGGGAAATATTTCCATTTGACACTCTGACCCACGTGGTCTTTAAAATATATTAACTCCTTTCGTCTGTCGAGCAGGGAATCGACAACTCAAATCATCAAGGTTAGTCGTGCTAGTTGACGTTGTGTGCATGCTGTTAAAGGATTCGAGACTTTTTACTAGGAGCCAGTGTTATCACGTAAAAGTACCAAATCTCACGTGGAGGCTTGCAAGGGCACCAAAACCGTTCATTTACGATTATTTTTAAGCGTTTTTCCTGGCCGCCTAGCAAGGCCCAAGCATTTCATTGTTCTTGCAATTCAGAGCATCAATTAGAAATATTTTCACGAAAGAGTTAGTATAGAGGAAATTAAAGTTTCTTCAGAATCGGGGACAAATAGTTCTTATGCAGATTGGCCAATAAAAACACCCTTTTCTTCAGTGCCAATTTATAAACTTGTAGATGTTTTCCTTGTTGAGTATTTTAATCAATATTGTTAGGGGTCGTAGAAAGGTAAACAATTCACTGTTCAGCCTTTGCGGTGCCTAATACACTTCTTGTAAAGTACCTTGTACAAGCACGTTAATCGTATGTGTACTTCCATTCCGTCCTTTGTCGAACGAAGTGCTAAATCCTTTACAGAATTCCCGTAACTTCAATAACAAATCGTCAAAATCCACGAGTCGAGTTGACAGGTGGGCAAAGGCGGCACAAGTACGAAATGCCATCGGCCTTACAAGAAACCTCTCCCAAACATTGGTGATAGAGAAAAGCTGATAGAATTCAATTACTCCGTTACAGATTGTGAAATGTGATTGCGACAATCAAAACTTGCAAGAACATCACCTGATTTTTAGCTCCTATGCCTTTTCGTTTCTACGATGGAATTTAGAAAGCCACTTTTCTAGTTTGTAGCGTTTCTAGAAAATACGTTTAGGTAATTTACATGAAGGAAAAGTATTTAAAAATTCATCATTGATGTGCACGCAATTTAAGTTTCTACTTTTGTGATGGAAACTCACAGTGATAAGATACATTCGAACGTCATTAGCTAAGATTTCATTTCAACCACGCGAATACATTTTCAAGATCTTTGGAGGTAATGTTCCTGAAAAATAACAACCACACGCAATAGAAAAATTCGTATGACTGACGAAAACTGGCAACCCGGGAAAGAGAAATCGGGATTTTCTACGAGGTGCTCCTGAAAGCACTGACCGACCGCCTAGCATTTTAGAGCCAGAGAACAGGTCAAAGGCGCCATTCACATTCTGCGCATTTGCGAGTTCTTGTAAAGGTCGCGCAAGTAGGAAGCATTATAATCTCCACAGTCGTATATATAAATATAGCACCGGTGGCGTGCATTAGCCTTACGGAATATATAGATAATATATATTAGTTTTCAATTTTCATCTCGTCTAAAGTTTTGAGACATTGTATGCTACTCGATAAAAGAAATTTAAACTTTCGCCAATGTTTACTACCAAGCATGCAGATTTATTTTCGGTATATTAGCCAATGTTATTACAGAACATGGGAGTATTCTGAATGGCGTTTGCGAGTCATGGCTTGCAGCTGCCTACCTCGGGGCATTTGGCTGCCACGATTTGTTTTCTTCTTCCTACATTGCGAGACCTATGAGAAGAAATACTCCTGAATCTATATCACTCTCCTTTTTGCATGACCCCGGGGCTACGAGCGAAGCCATTTCATTATTCCAACTTCTCTAGATCATCCATAGCATCCATCACTTGCTCTGAGGCGCCTTCGAACATTCGTAGTATCTAGTTCTGTTACGAATTCCTTGTTTAAATGGCACGTTGCCGTTTGATGATGCATGGCTAGTCCAGAAGAAACACTACATATTGAAGGGAATGCCGCATTCTGGAACTCCGTTCAGTCTTCTAGTAGTTTCTCTCTAGCGTTATTCACTCAATTCCTTACGAGTGAACTAGTGCGTTCTTACATTCGAGACAAATGTTTTTGTCCGATTTCATACTAATATTACTCGTCCTAAATGCTGGTAGGGCACTACATCTGAATGTACTAGATAAAACGGCCTAAATATCTTGGCACAATCACCGTAAGTTGAGGACTATGACACCTCAGGCAAGACAATGGTGCTCTTAATGGCATGTTATAATATTGTTAATGTTGACACGCATTTCAATACATTGTCTCGTGTTATATCCGACGCGGACAAATCGCCCTAGTGAGGCTAGATGGTGCAGCAACATTATTTTACGAAGGGATTTAGGATTTTTTCATGTACACTCTTTTGTGTATGTGATAATTGAATGTTTGTTGATATGTAAAAGATTAAATACCTTCCTACTAATAAATGTTATAAATTTGTTATAGGCATTCATAATTGAACTTTTTAATAAAAACGAATATACTTAATATAAAAAGGTATAGTATTATTTTTAACGTTGATGCATACATTTATTGCTTTGTAGAAAGACTATTGCTGAATTGGTTGTTCTCTTGATTCTGTAACATATGCAATGAGAATAAAGTAATTTGAACAGAACGGGTGAAAACATCGATGTTCATTGGTTCGATACTCTCGTTCTCAATACATCGATGATTTCATTGCTTTTATTCTACCAATTCGCTGTGTACGCCATTTACAGAGCCGAACCCTCACGCGCTTGGCAAAGACCTCCAGACCGGTTTCCTCCTCGCGTCCCCGCCCCGCCCGCTCGCCCGCTCGGCGTCGCCGATTGGTTGCTTTACGCACTTTATATTATGTAAGAAAACAGAATAGAATGAAACAATTGAAGAGAAGAATATCATTTATGCCAACGCTCCAGCGATCGCTGGCACAACGTAAAACAACGAAATATTTGCTTAGAGAACACGCCTTAAACTCTTTAAGAGAGGTGTCACACTGAACGTTTAAAAGATGCTCCAAGGCCACTGAGATGTACGACAATAATTAGAACTGTAAAACGATCTTCAAATTTAGAAGGAATACGTGCGATTGGTTTTTGGCTGAAAATATTTTTTAAAGCTATTATAGACTTGTGAGCGCACTGTAACGGACGTTAAAATGCATCCGTTGCAGAGTTTACAGATGCGAATGGGGCGTGGCACACGAGCGCGCTGCGCGACGTTTGTTGTGCTCTGCTTGACGTCCGTGAAATTACGGATGTTGGAACATCCGTCACGCAACATTCGTGTGCTCGTAGCCTTAGGGTTGATCAATACTACTCGTACAATGCAGAGCATGATGACAGAATCTCCTCGTTTTTCAATTGCATGCAAAGATCAAGAGTTCATTTAATTCAATTTTTCTTTAAATAAATATGATTTGTATGTGCATCTTCCCCCTCAAAAAGCTTATGATTTTTATTTTTAAGTTATTTCATCTACTGTAAAGTATCGAAATATCGGTTTCCTCATTTTTAAATAGTGAATTTGAACGCATTGCAATGTAAACATCGCAAAATTTGTAAGTGAAATCGACCATCAGCTGTTTTTAAGTTTAAATATGTTTACATATTAAATCTTCTTTTAAATTTTATCTGACCTCTGACATAGAGCGTACAATGCTAAATAGCGCTTGAGTTGGCCATTATATATTGGCTCTCTCAAGAACTGACTTTTGTATGAATACCCGATATATTGATATCAAATCATTCTTAATGTCTTCCAAAATATTTAAAAAGAGTTCGCAGAAATATTAAATAAAATACGTCCCAAGTACAGAATATCATAATTAAAACGAAAAAAGTGTTCACCTTATTTTATGTGATTCTTCTGACTCATAAAGTTGTTTAAGGTTCGTTTCGATGTTACTTCAATGGTAGTTGTTTTTTGTTGCTATCTGCTAAGTATCAATGGTAAGCAACTTACCACTTGTAACTACATCCTCTTAGAAATTTGAATTTTCAATTTTTTCCACATTTAAACAAAATGCCTTTTTTTGGGTGGGCCAGGTATAAATCTAAAAATTGCACAGGTACTAGATCGCTATGATGCCAAACTTCGGTAAACATTTCAACTTTTAGATTCATCTCAAAAAATGTTTTTAAAATTTTAAACTTACGCAAAATAATGCTTTATTTCTACTTTGACCATACTAGGAGACGAAAGTAAAAATTAAATTTTTAAAAATAACCAACTAAGATCTCTATATTTTTAACAATAGTGGTCATTCAGTCAAACATTTTCTATAAAAACGATGTTATATAACAGAAAGTTAATTTTAAATACAATAAATTACATAATCTTCAAACGGAGAATGAATTGTATTTTGTGTCAATGGTACAACTTCAGAACTTGATGAAGTTCACTTTCAGTTGATGTGTACTTGCATTTTATTGTGATTTCTGAATGTGGTATAAAGCAATGGTGCCTTTAATTTTCTGACAATTATTTTACCTTTATTTTAAGATATTAGAATTAATTTTATTTATTTTCTCAATTCCTACAAAAAACATGAGTAATCCCTTTAATATTTTCTTTACAGACATTGTACATGTCCTGGGGTGTCAGGATTTGATTGTTTTGAGGCCCCTGTAAACTACCTTCGTTACGTATCGCTTTGTACTTCCCCCTATGCCATCGCAGGCATTTTGCCATGACGACGCAAAAAAGTTGTGTGCCTGATAACCCAATGGTACCCTACGCCTTCATTTTGTACCTCAAAAGAATAATTTTCTGAAAAATCAGCCAGTACAATGCATTCATCATCTGTCAACTTTAGTTTTTTCTCTTTCAAAAATTGACTTTGCGATTTTATAATAAAATGATGAACCTTTTAAGTTTCAAGTTTATCAATCAGTATTTCAAAAATATCTTCTTTTGGTTTTACAATTGTCATCAGTTCGGTTCTATCTTGGATCAACCATTGCGTATATGCTATATTGTTTGGCATTGAGTCCTCTTCACATTCTTCAAACAATGCCTTTTTCCCTGGACATTTTTGACAACTTCCCATCCTGCAATTAAAACGATGTTTTGCACACCCCAGAATTTCTAAGAGGTTCTTGTAATTAACATTGAGCTTGGCCCCATGAATCATCAATTTTATATTCTGGTGATATAAAGATACACAGACATTATGAGTTCCAGAACTCCCCACGATCATACATTACTTTGGTCTTAACTCACAAAATTTTGATCTTTTTATTTTAATGGTAGGATTGATCTTCTTAAACTCCCAAAAGAATTGGTTTAAAATACAAATAATTAACCGCTTTTGTCTCTGAATCTTGATACCATTTTTCCTTTAGAGAAACAATCTTTTTTCTCAGGCATCAGAAGACTGTTTTCGTCATCTTCATAAAAACGGGTAACTTTTTTTATTGTTTCTCCATTTAGTAAAATTGAAGCTCCTTTTTTGTAAGAAAGGTAAAATACCCTCTTCTTTTATCAAGTCTCTTGCTAATTTTACCATACGTTTCGACACTTTAAATTGATTGCTTACTTTCGTTCGACTCCAAGAACTGGGAAGTAAACTGATAATTTGTATTTTGTTTTCTTT